AGCCTCTACAGGAATCCCACTTTTATACGTTTTCGATATATGTTTCTAATATCAGTGCTGAATCATTTAAGCTTAGTTCACTTGAGTCAATTTACTAAATATTTCTTTTTTTGAAAAAAGAGCTCTCTAGTGAACTGTGTAGTGTCACTCACCAAACAAAGGAAGACACAAGGTTAATATAAGTTTTGGGGAAGAATGAAGGTTAGATAAAATTTGCATTAAGCAGAGCTTTGATGGACTCAAGGCAAAGCAGATCTGATGTAATGGAGTCAACATCATGCCTGGGCTGAGCATCAGACACAAGGTCCTGGTTTTTATGGAAATTATAAGATTAAGATAAATGTGCAGTGTCATCTCCAGAAACTGCCCTCTGAAGCTCTGCACGTGGGTTGGAAATCATAACTGATTCTCTGTGTTAAAGTGACTCTCCAGGCAACAGTAAGATGTCCCCTTCTTATTATTACTATGATTTCAAAGAGCAAACGTTCTGACAGTCTATGATTTTATTTTATTTTTTTAACAACCTTTTTTTTTTAAAGATTTTATTTATTCATTCATGATAGAGGGGGGGTGGCAGAGACACAGGCAGAAGGAGAAGCAGGCTCCATGCCGGGAGCCCGATGTGGGACTCGATCCTGGGACTTGATCCTGGGATTCCAGGACGGCACCCTGGGCCAAAGGCAGGCGCCAAACTGCCGAACCACCCCAGTCTATGATTTTAAATAACATGGTTTCTCAGTACTATGTCCTTGGTGTTCATTTTTACAGGTTCATAATCTTAACAACTCTTAAGGTGGCTACAAACCAGGCAGCTGAGTTTTAGAGAGTCAAGTCGCTTGACCAAGCTCAGATAAGGGTAAAGCCTGGGCTGGGATTTGAATCCATAAGTAATGACTCTCCAACGTTTTCCAAGAACTCTATAGACAGAATTTAAAAATGATAGGAAGTTGTGGTACGTTTAGACAATAGAATACTATTCAGTGCTAAAAAGAACTATTGGGCCATGAAAAAACAGAGCAAACTTAGGTATATGGAAGTGAAAGAAGGCAATCTGAAAAGGCATACTGTATGATTCCAACTATATGATGTTCTGGGGGGGAAAGTAAAATTATGGAAACAGTAATAAGATCATTGGTTGCCAGGGGTTGGTGGGGGTAAGGATGAATAATAGGTGGAGCACAGAAAAATCAGGGCAGTGAAAACTATTCTGTGTGATACTATAATGGTAGGTACATGTCATTATATATTTGTACAAACCCACAAAATGTACAATACTAAGAGCAAACCCTAATGTAAACTATGGATTTGGGGTGGAAGTGACACATCGGTGTAGCTCATCAACTATACCAAATGTCCCACTCTGGTGTGGGATGTTGATAGCGGAGGAGACTGTGTTTGCCTGGAGGCAAGGAGACCATGGGAACACTTACATTCTGCTCAATTTTGCTGCGAACCCAAGACTGCTCTAAAAAACAAACTGTTTAAAAAAAAATGATTTGAGGACAGGAAGTTGTTCATATTGTGGTAAGGGGAGAGGCAGCATTGGAGTGTGTGAACTTTGTCGGAAAAAAATAAATCCAAAGGAATCAGACAGAATGTGTTTAATTATTTCTTGAGTTCCCAGAGAGGAACTGAGTGTAGATCCTGCGCCCTGAGACTGCTTATTCTCAGAGGAGGAAACCGATGCACAGAGCCAGGGGCTGCTCAGGGTGATCAGGCTTGTGAAAGTAGGAATGTAGGGCACTCTGCATGAGATGCTTCTGGGAGATACTAAGAAGATTCCCCTAAATAGAGACTTGCTTTTGGGAAGAGCTCAGGATCTCACAAGGGTTATAGAACTGTGTCTATGAAGACATATGTTGGGGTCCACGGAGACAGCTACACAATGGGACAGGGGTGCAGAATGGCCTATAAGGGCCATGTAATGAGAGTCTGAGTAGAAACGGGTTAGGGTTGGGTGGCATGATGTTAGTTCTACACTGGACAAGAAGTGTGGTCAGGAGTGGACCAGGTTTCCTGGAGTTAAGGGAGCTGAAGTGAAGAAAGCATAGATTCCCAAAGGGCAGAATGTGAAATGAGCTTCTGAAGTTATAAGGGGCTGCTGAGAAATGAGAAGGCCTGCAAAGTGAGGCCTGCCCCTAGCTCCTTGGCCTAGTCCTCATCTCTTCCTCTACCTTCTCATGTCATCCTTTAATCCCAAATTATACTTTCTCTTTTACTCTTCCCAGCTGTGTGACCTCGGTGTACTGGGACCTTTGGTCAGCCCTGAGTAGCAGGGTCTCAGCCATGTTTCATATTGCAAACCTCCTCCGTGACCATGTGGACTTAGTCATCTGTCACTTGAGAGAGTATGGCATGGCAAGGCTTAGGCAGGTCTATTAAGGGGCAATCATATACCTAAGTTATAAGAGGAGGAAAGAAAACGTGAAGACTTTCCTCCTTTGATTATTTTGTGCCGAGTCCTGAGAAGTGTTGCACATTTGCTCTCTGTAATGCTAGGAAGTAGAAGAAGCCTACCTTCTCAAGGCCCCAGACAGGAAGGAACAAGCTATGACTAAATTTCATCACCAGCAAAAAGCTTGAATAAAAAGAGGGGCGTAGGGATGTCTGGGTGGGGCTCAGCAGTTGAGCGTCTGCCTTTGGCTCAGAGCATGATCCCAGGGTCCAGGATCTAGTACCGCATCAGGCTCCCCATAGGGCTCCCCATGTGGAGCCTGCTTCTCTCTCTGCCTGTGTCTCTGCCTCTCTCTCTGTATCTTTCATGAAGAAATAAATCTTTTTAAAAAAGAGAGAGAGGCATAAAGGGGCACCTGAGTGGCTCAGTTGGTTAAACGTCTGCCTTTGGCTCAGGTCATGATCCTACGGTCCCAGGGTCAAGCCCTGTGTTGTGGGGAGCCTGCTTTTCACTCTCCTTCTGCCCCCGCCCACACTCATGTGAGCACATGCACTCTCTCTCAAATACCTTTTTTTTTTTTAAAGAGGGGTGTAGGTAGCATCAGGAAAAAGAATCTGTGAGCAGACATGTCCCTTGAGCTGTCTGTCCCTTCTAAGGCTGGGAATGGGGGTGGGGATCTTCATATCTTTGGAATAGCTCAAAAGGTCTTCATATATGTGGAACGGTTCAAGTAGAACTTGACAGCGGGGGACTAAGAAACGAATGCAGGTAAGATCTCATGATCACTTATAGATATTTTGAGTAGAAAAATGAAAGACTTTTTGAAAAACCCCTGGGCTCATCCCTGTCTCCTGGAGTCCTGACTCTTTCACTCTGTTTATAAAAATTACCTAGTTGATTTGGGGCTTGGCAAGGAGAGAGATACTTCCCCCTATTTTTGCCCAGAAATTTTCCCCTAAAATAGTTGGGCAAGGGCACCTGAGTAGCTCAGTGGTTGAGCATCTGCCTTTGGCTCAGGGTGTGATCCTGGAGTTTCAGGATCGAGTCCCACATCAGCTTTCGCATGGGGAGCCTGCTTCTCCCTCTGCCTGTTTCTCTGCCTCTCTCTCTCTCTCTGTCTCTCACGAATAAATAAATAAATCCCCTAGTGAGCCACTAGGCAGCCCCTAGTGGCTCAGCGGTTTAGCGCCTCCTTCAGCCCAGGGCGTGATCTTGGAGACCCAGGATCGAGTCCCACATCAGGCTCCCTGCATGGAGCCTTCTTCTCCCTCTGCCTCTCTCTCTCTCTCTCTCTCTCATTCTCCTCTCTGTGTATTCTCATAAATAAATAAATAAAATCTTTAAAAAAATAAATCTTAAAAAAAATAGTTGGGCAAGTCGGTTTTTCTCTTCAAACTTACTATTTAAAACGGGAGTAATCACGCACGGTTTACAGAGTTGCTGCGAGGATATATGTGATTCATATATAGTGGGGTACTCAATAAATGATAATAATTGTCTCTTACCTTTTATAGACCCTTCAAAACTTAGTTCATAGTTCAAGAAAAAACCCTTGATAAAGGCTAACTTGATTCTTCCTATTCTCATTGCCCTCAGTTTCCCCATTTGAACAATGTTATTTTAGGTTAGCATTAAATTGGCACTCCACTGGCCAAAGCTGGCCTGAAGATATGTTTTGTTCAGCTCACATAGGATTTAAAGAAGAAAACTGACTCATCATTTGAAAATTGAGATGTTCTACATAGAAATTCAGTTTTCCAGCTTCTCTTGGAAGAAATCAGAAGTTGTGACAATAATGGCAATAATCTACTAGGCCCAAAATAGGCTGCTCCCTTAGGTAGGGCATGCATTCTCAGTTTTCTAGGGCCCATCCAGCTTTCTTTACTCATTTATAGGATGTGCTTGGCTCTGTTCACATTTCAATTTGTAGTCCTCTATACAGTTGGAAATGGTCTATGCCTGGCACAGAGTGGAGGTTTCATTAGAAAATTAGTGAATCTCCCACTATCCTCCTCTACCAATCTTTCTTATCTGGCTATAAGAAATCTGTGTTTGTATTTACTTGTGGTACAGAAAAATAAATTGAACAAGTCCTTTGTGTCAGTCAGGATAGGCTAGATTAGGCTGTGGCAACAAATAACCCCCAAATCTCAGTGGCTTACAACAACAAAGGTTTATTTCTTGGTTACTCACCCAAATGTAGACACAAAATGAAAATACTCTCCTGTTTTTACATGCATGGAGACAGACATGAGTGCACAGGCTTATACAGAATCACATGTCAAATAAATATTCTGGAACATGAACTCATGCAAAAAATTATTTAGACACTGGTTAGCTTAAACTGCACAACTCTCATTTTGTTGGGGATTTAAAAATGTCCCAGGACCCAAGTGAATAAGAGAATCAACTTTCAGTCTAGGAAATGCCCACACTACAAAAGGAACCAAAAGCTACTGAGGCACCTAAAAGGTTAAAAAAAAAAAAAAAGCCAGAAGCTTGTACTAAATTAAATTCCATGCATAAATCCAGAAGTAAAATACCAAATATGCAGTACCCAAAGGCTGTTACCTCTTGCCCCAGCGAGGCCTCCATCTCTGAGCTTCTAGCTTAGGAGGGAGATAGAGCCCAGACGCCCAATATGCAAAGCCACCGAGGGGGCTGGGCTGGGTCGGAAAGAAGGGCTAACAGGCTGGAATCCTCTTCCTCCAGCAGGAGCTATAGGCAGGAAGGAAGGGGGTAGGACAAGTCACATTCATTTCCTCTCCCAGAAATCGCCTCTTTTTATCCCATCCAATCCAGGCCTCATCCTTGTTCACCTGGGTTAAAGCAAACACTTATCCGTCACTGATTTTCCCACCTCCAGTCTTATCTCTTTCAGTCCTTCCATAACAGCCACCATTCTTGGCTATCTAAAGCTCTGGGTCTCTGGATATGTTCCTGCTTAGCTCAGAAACATCCCCTGGCTCCCTTTTACGTGCAGTTGCTAGTCTAGACTCCTAAGCCTGGAACGCCAGACCTCTAAGATCAGAAGTCCCTCCAGTCTCGTCTCCTTCTGTTCCAGCAGTTCTTCCAAGTAGGTTTCCTCACCCACATACCATGTCCAATCCACAATTTTGGACAGGAGAATCCTTGGCCTTCCCCCTCTGCCCCCTCAAAATTCCTCTACTTTTTCCAGGTTTGTCACTGAGCTTTGTGAAGGCATCTCGTTTTCCCAAGTAGAATAGAAGCTCCTGGAAGGCTATTATCTTCCAGGCCAGACCCTTGTTCCTTCTTCAGCCCCTCTCCAGACCTTAGGCAGCCTTGGGCTAGGGTCAGAGGAGATCAGGCTTTGCCACTGTGTTGCCATATGCCCTTGGGCAAGTTCCTGCCTTTCTCAGGGCCTCCTTTTCCTTGACATCAGAGCACCAGGTATTTACTTTTGTGTACAAAATTACTAATACTAATTTATCAAACAACTCTCAACTGCAATTCCAGGAGACAGATTGAGAAGCTTGGAACAGTAGGTTCTTGGCATAACAAGCGGCACACCACTGAAGATGCTCAACCATCTGATCCCGATCTCCTTGGTTAGTCCCTACTTACTCTGGTACCTCCATTTCCCAACTATCCTTATCCCATCTTGTCCCTTTCAGGGAACAGGTTACCTGGTGGGCCACAGGGGTGGAGCAGGGAGATCCACGCAGGATTGGGGGGAACAGAAGAGGTCAGGCGGGGAGCCTGGGAAGAGTCTTTCAGACCCACAAGAGCCTCAGCTGCCTCCCGCTGCAGCTGCCGTTCTGAGGGGGCAGAGGACCAGGCCAGACGAGAGGCTCCAGGGGCCTGCAAAAGGAAAGAAATAGACTGGGCATCCCCACTTCTGCCCACCTTCCAAGTACTCTCTCAGCCTCTGGTATTTTACTATCCCCTATTTTCTCCTCCCCATGGTCAACTTCCTCCCAGGGTCCTGGATCCCACTTTTTTCCCAGGACCTGTGGCTGCAGCAGAAGAGGGTCTGGAGTGCCACAGGGTTGGAGTATCAGAGTCGAACATCTAGAAGCAAGGAGAGAAGATGCCAATGGGATGAAACACATGGACATACATGTACACATGGGAATCTCAGGGCCTGCTGGGCCATTAGGCTTCGTGGAATGGGGCAAGTCCCTTCCCCTGTCTTGGGTGGCATTGTTTACTATAAAGTGAAAATCCTGCCAGCTTATTTCCTCCAGAACTACTGTGAAGTCACTGGTGTCAGTTTTTTAAAAACATATCAAACAGTGAAAGGGGCTGGGATGGCTATTCCTGCCCTATTATAGTCTAGTTTCTCTCCCCTAGGTCCCCAATCCTCATGGAACTTGAGGAGCAGTTTGGCATTTTTTTTTTAAAGATTTTACTTATTTATTCATGAGCGACACACACACACACAGAGGCAGAGACACAAGCAAAGAGAGAAGCAGGCTCCATGCAAGGAGCCTGATGTGGAACTCCATCCCGGGTCTCCATGATCACACCATGGGCGCTAAACTGCTGAGCCACCCGGGCTGCCCGTGGCCTACCTTTAAGAAGCTTTCTCTAATGGCCTCTACAATAGGCCTGAGTCTTTCACCATCACACCCTACCCCACCCTTTCAGCAGGCAATCTGATTCCATCTTATCTGTTTAAGAGGATTTAATAGCCACTATTTGTCCAAAACCAGGGCCTCTGCTAGGTGTATTCCATATATTATCACTAATTCTCAAGACAAAGCAAAAAAAGGTAATTGTGTCTCCAAATGACTGAAAGAAAACCAGGTTCAAAGAAGTAAAGACACTTGTACAAAGGTTCCCAGTTGTGCTCGCTTCAGCAGCACATATACTAAAAAGGTTCCCAGTCAGGCAATGGCAGAGCTAGGAGAGTTCCTCCTCACCCGTTCACCTGGGACCTGGTGTTCTGTATCATCCACTGTGATGTCCAGGACAGGATTAGGCACATTATAGACATATATTCTTCCCTCCCTACTCACGTGCGGGGCAGGGCAGAGGGCCCTTGGGATTCTCCAGAAATAGGAGCCGTCAGTATTGGGTGAGATCCTGGGCAGGTTGGGAGGGGCCCATGAGAGGGCAGCAGGAGGGAAGTGCCAGGATCAAAGCCTAATGAGGGTAAGAGAATGCAGAAGTGTACAGGTGTTAAAAGGTCATGGCTTCCATCTTCCTTCCTATCCTGTATCCTCTTCTTTTTCTGATACAGTGGTACAATGGCATTCAAATAATCAGTTGAACAAATGTTGAATTCATCTCACCAGGAAAGGGATGCAGAGGGATAGCAGGTTCTTGGCACAGCAAGCGGCACACCACTGGAGGTGGCATGGGAAGGCCTGGAGGCAGCCAGTGTCCAGGAGCCCAAGAGCCCGGAGGCACTGGAGTCCAAGACAAAGGCAAGGCTTCTGGGGGACCGCTGAGCAGCAGAGGCCCCCAGGAGTTATCCTGCAAGGGCAGAGAACACAAGTCGGAGTCAGGTACAAGGCTGGGGAAAGAATGAATATGTTCTAGGGTGGGGGCAGGACCTCAAAACTTTAGCCTTGGGAGGGCTATAAAATCCCACCCTCTTGTTTTTTGCTCATAGAAGTGATTTGCCCAGGATGATACTGCAAGTCAGGGCTAGACCCAGAACACACGTGTTGAAGGCACAGAGAGGAAGGGATCTGGGCAGAAGCTACACAGGAGTCACTTCCTCAGGACTGAGGTTCTCCTTACCTTCCCAGGGGGTGTCAGTGCCAGGGGGGCTGTCCCATGGGGTGTTTGAGGCTGGGGTGCTATGTTCTCCTTTCCAGCTGTGAGGGAACAGGGAGAGCTTCAATGAACCCTTTCTCCTGACCCCTCTCCCACTCCAACTGCAAACTGAGTTCTTATCTCCCTGTGGCCCTTTGTTACCCATGGATCTCACTACATCTTCCCAACACCTGATTGCATTTTAGAGTTGGAGAGACAGAGACCCAGAGAGTAGAAATGCTTTGCCCGAGGTCACACACCAATTCCAATGGCAGGTCTGAGGCTCTTTTTCCTACTATGCTTTCTCCGCCCCAGACCCTGGCGCATCCCTGGCCACTCACAGGGGACCCCTGGTCGAATGGCTCCCTTCTTGACATGGCTAGGAGCTTTGGGAGGAGCTGTCCTTCTCCTCATCAGGCCCTGAGCCAGATGTCTCTTGAGCTGTGCCTCCTGTTGCCGACGCAAGGCCACCTGGGCAGCCATGACCCTTCGGCGCTCCCTAAAATGGGGTTGCAGGTCAAAAGTCAGCCACGATGCAGATGAGGCCCATCCTCCTCTCTTTCCTGGATCATACTCACAAGATGAGGACACATTTGTGACACTCGCAAGCCTGAAAGAGGCACAGGCGCTTGTGGCCCTTGAGGTGGGCAGTGACTCCGTGGTTTCGGCAGCGGGCACAGGTTGGAGAGCGGCTGACAGCTCTCTTGGGGATAAGCTCCATGCCCGGGGGGACTCTGGTCTCACCCCCTGTGGTAGAGTCAGAGGCAAAGTGCTGGGCAGTGGGCATTTCGTTGGCATCCATGGATCTAGAGGCAGGGGTGGAAGGTCAGGGTGGCCACCTGGACATTCTCCTGACCAGCCCTCCTGCCCGTAGGAGGCCACACCTGAAGGGGTTCCCACAGCACCCATCTGTGGACTGAGCTTTCACCCTGCTACCCACTCCATGGCTCTCTCCCTCCTTCACCCACTGCCTCCCTTTGGGAGCCTCCTTCCCAGAAGGCTCGCCTGCTTCCCACCACCTGCCTCCTCCTTCCCTTATGTATTCTTTCAACCAAACACTGTTCTCTGTTCCTGGCCTGTGCTTTCCCGGGCACTAGTCCCATGCTCCTAGCCGTGCACTCATGCCCCCCTCCCCAGGGACTCTACACCCCCTTTCCCCCAATGTCCCTGTCCCGATGGTTTGTTTCTTCCTGCCACCGTCTTCAGCAACCACCATCCTTCCTTCCTGCATTTATCCAATTCCTACAACTACGTGTCTGCTCCCCGGTCAATTTTTAGCGTCAGGTACCTCCCGCACACCAACATCCCCCTTGCCCCCCTTTAAAACCAGAACACTCTCTTGCCTCCCCCCACCCCCACCCCGCGATTACTTTATTCTCACGATTGCTTGCCCCACTCAAGAATTATTTTCATTCACTCAACAAACGTTTACTGAGCCCCTTCCAGGTGCCAGGCCCCGACCACGGCCGCAGGCCCCCTCATGGCACGGATTCCCCTCTTGCACCCACATACCCTCCAAACCCCGAGGCAAACCCCGCCCGCGGTGGCCGCTGCGCCCTGCGCTTCGGCGAGGGGGGAGCGGCCTTTGCCCATTCCCAGCAACGAATCGTGCATCGCCCAGCCCACCTCCCCACGGCGGGCGCACCGCCGCCTCGCGCGGCTGTTACTCGCGTGCACCCCCTTTCAGCAGCTGGGCCTGCGGCCTCGCCTCGCTCCAGGGTCCCACGGCGGGGGCGGGGGCGGGGCACGGGGAGGGCGCCCAGGGGCCCCGGCGTCGGGGAGGGGAGGAGAGGGGCGCGAGGAGCGCGGGGGAGGGGGTCCAGCGCCACTGAGAGGGGGAGAAGGGACAGGGAGGGGCGGGGTCGTGTTCGCGTCCCCGGCCCACAGTTACCACAGCCTCGAGCGAGCAAAGCCAGACTCAGTCAGGAGGACGCGAAAGGACGCCGTGAGGAAGTGGCGTGAGGAACGGCTGCGCTCGCGCCGGTTTTCCCGCCCCTTCTCACACGGACCAATGAGCTTCGAGCGTCGCCTCACGCCGCAGAGGCAAGCGACCAATGCGCTTCAAGATCCTACACTGACGGCCCTCCCCTTACCCCCAGCCCGCCTCTCCTCGCGCCAGACTGTCCGGCCAGCCAATAGCGCGTCGAGTTGAGTCTCGTTTTCTCCCCCCACCCCTCCCCCCGTGGCTTGACTTCCTAGATGGTTGTTGCCCTCTTGGGAGAAGTGGCCAATGGGGCGTCGAGTACTGCTCCCAGGATAAGACTGGCCCTGCCCCCTAGAAACGGCTGCCGCGCCCCCCCCCCGCCGCCCCAGGCGTTGACCTGGACCGGTGTGCGCACGCGCAGTCTCGCCCTCTGGCTAGGCTGCACAGCCAGGTCTTGCCGCTCGGTCCCTGGCGGCGACTTCGCTCTGGCGGTTCCTCTTGCCTGCGTGGACGCTCGTGTTTCTCTTCCTTGTGCCCCATCTCCCGATCTACCCTTCTCCTTTTACGCTTTCCCCCTCCTGTGATTTTCCCCGTTTCCTGCGCTTACCCCACCTGAGGGTGCGTGCCTCCTCTTCCGTGTCTCTCTTCCTGTCCGTTTAGGTGCTGATTTTCCTAACTTTGGTTTTCCCGTTCTCTCGGAGTTGCTGTCCGCCTGTACATCCTGCTGATTTCCAGACCCCTGCCTCTACGTTCAGGATTCCCTAATTTCCGAATAGCCTGGCCCTGTCCCCCCCACCCCCCCCACCCCCTTTTCTTTGCTTCCTTTCCAAGAAGCCGCTGTAATATTTCTGTCCCTTCGGCCCTTTCCACTCCCTGTGTGCATCTCCCTCCCTCCCATCTGGGCTCCACTCTGTAATTGTCACCTGTCTTCTCCGTCTCACGGTGCCTCTCCCTCCCACCCTCTCTGTGTTGTCCTCTTTTTCTCTGTGCCTCCTGCCCCGTCTCCTCCCCCACACCCCTCTCCAGCTGCGTTTTTGTGCCCTAGGCCTCATTTTCCTGCCCTTCCTTTTGGACTCTTGCTGCCGGACCTCTGACTCCTTGCAAGGTTCCAGTCCATCCGTTTGCTCCTCCTCCTCTGCATGGTTTCTCTTTTGCAGGGGTAGCATCCCCTCTGACCACTTCCTCATCCTTCTCCCCTGAGAATTTCATCCCACTCTTTTCTGGTTGTACCTCCACTCGTGCTCAGACTTTGGGGTCCTGTCGTTTTGCATTCCAGGCTGGTGCATGCCATCTTCTCTGATTGGCCCAATCCCTTTGTGTGATCCCTTGTCAGCCCATTTCCCTGTCCTGTGTCCCATCTTTTCTGCGATTCTCAGCCCTTTTGTTTGCCACGGGCTTCTGTGTTACGGAGCCTGCGTGCCAGGTGTTCCGGACAGTAAAGGGTGGCAGAAGTGACCTCTAGCTGGACTGCTGTGCAGGGGAACAGTGCTAGACAAAATTGGACAGGTTGTTTGGGGCCAATCTAGCCATGGGAGATGTGGGGTGCGGGAGTCTTGACTTCCTACTAAAGAGGTTGACCTTGATCCTTTAGATAGTGGAAAGACAGAGACTGGGGAGCCAACATTTATGGAGAGCTTAGCACTTGCCTGGCACTTTATATTAATGGCCTTACTAATTTTCAACAATGACTTTATGAGATGTATTATTAATCCATTTTATGAATGAGTTCAACAACTCACACAAGATTGCACAGCTGGTAAATGGAGGGGTAAAGATTCTAACCTTGCTCAACCTTTCAGCCTTTGAACTTGGCTGAATTTAAAACCTATGAGTTTTTGTACCACCTACACTGTTTTATTATTTCCAGTAATCCTCATTTCCCACTTTCATTCCCTAACTCTCCTGTAGACCCTCACTTCAGGTGGCTAATGCCTATCTTTTGGTTCATGTGTGTTCTTGCAAGATGTGTAGTGTCTTATGTCTGTGTGGTTTTTAAAAAAATGTTTATTCATTTATTTAAATAATCTCTACACCCAGCGTGGGGCTTGAATTCATGACCTCAAAATCAAGAGTTGCTCACTGTTCCTACTGAGCCACCTCGGCACCCCTGTGCGTGTGGTTTTATTATTATTTAAAGATTTTATTATTTTTTAAGATTTTATTTATTTATTCATGAGAGACAGAGAGAGAGCGAGAGAGAGGCAGAGACACAGGCAGAGGGAGAAGCAGGCTCCATGCAGGGAGCCCGACGTGGGACTCCCAGGGCCGCAGGTGGCGCTAAACCGCTGCGCCACCGGAGCTGCCCCCTTATTTCTTTATTTTATTTTTTTATTATTTTTTTTATTTTTTATTTATTTATTTTTTATTTATTTCTTTATTTTAGAGAGCCGGCAGGAGGGTAGGGCTAAGGGAGAGGGAGAGAGTCTTAAGCAGACTCCACACCCTAAAGGCAGAGCTCAAGGGACCTGAGATCTGTACCTGAGTCGAAATCAAGAGCTGGACGCTCAGACGACTGAGCCACCAATGCGGCCCTGTGCATGTGGTTTTAACTTTTGCAAGTGATATTTACTTTTAAGCTAATCAACACTGTGCTTTTTTGATCCATCCATATACATGTTATGTGTACATCTAATCAGTTTCTCTTAATTACTGAATAGCATTCTGTGGTTTGCATCCTCTGCATGTTGTGTGTCCACTAAGTCTCAGGGAATTATGCCTTCGACTCACCATCTCCATAGTAATGCTGCATCCTGATCTATGTTCTTTTGTAGAAGAGGGTGGAAATCTCTATTATGTGCACCTACAATATACCAGAAATGGGTATTTGTAAACCTAATTTGACTTAGTATTGCTAGACTCCTCCCCGCAATGCTGCTTTGGGCCTGAAACATCGATCAGAACTCACAACCGTTCCTCAGAGTCCAGAAGGGGATTCTTTCTCCCACCTCTCAGCAACCTCATGAGCAGCAAGTATACAAGGGTCCCTGTATCTGTATCACCACATTGGTGCCAACGCTTACCTTTTTCCAGCTTTCTAATCCTTTGCTAGTCTGATATATGGGCAGTTTGATATGCTGCATTTCTGATTATCCTTATGCTTGAGTGTCTCTTTGCATGTTTTTTAGTCTTTCTGGTTTGTTCTTCTGAGAATTGCTTCTTCATATGCTTGGCCCATTGTCCTACTAGAATTACCCTTCTTGTCAGTTTGCCAGAGATCCTTGGCCATTTTCATTGCTTTAAGGCATTGCGTATGCTTTAAGGCTCTTCTTTTTTGTTTTTCAGGATTTTATTTATTCATGAAACACACACAGAGAGAGGGAGAGACATAGGCAGAGGGAGAAGCAGGCTCCATGCAGGGAGCCCCGTGTGGGACTCCATCCCGGAACTCCAGAATCACGCCCTGAGGCAAAGGCAGACACTCAACCACTGAGCCACCCAGGCATCCAGATACTTTTTTTTTTTTTTAACTGCTACTGTCTGTTACTTCCTATTTTTAATTTGGTATTTTATTTGCATGTTTGTCTCTTGATTAGATTTGCTGGAGAATTATCTCATTGATTTTGTCAAAGAATGTTAAGTTTTCTGTAATTTTGTTATTTTAATTCCCTGATTTCTGCAATTATGTTGATTTCTATCCTTTATTGAGGGGGCAGGGGATGCTTTGTTGTGCCTTGTACAACTTCTGAAGTTAATTCATGACCATTTTTTTTAATGTTCCCATTTCCTGACAAATGTATTGAAAGTATAAATTTACTTGTAACTGCTGCTTTGAGTCCCACATTTTGACGTGTAGTTTAAAAAAAAAAAACCTTGGTTTTGAAGTGGTTATTGACTCATAAGAAGTTGCAAAAGTTGTAAATCCATTAACGCTTCTCTCCACTTCCCCACAGGGATCTCTTCTGTAACTGTAGTATACAAGCATGAACTTGACATTGGCACGATACTCCTAACTAGACTATAGACCTTAATTAGTTTTCACCAGATTGTACATGCACTTGTGTGGGTGTGTGAGAGAGAGATGTACTATGTTCATTATTATTCACTTCTAAATACTTTTAAAGATCCTTTCTGAACCAAGAGTTATTTAGTATTATTTCTGTTAACCTCCACACACATCTTTGTTGTTCTGATCTTACTGTCTCTGGCTGGAGCATAGCCTGTGTAACAGTGATTCTTTAATGACTAAGTCAGCTCTGCTCAGCACCATGTCCAATGGGAAAACCTAAGCAGGAGAGTGAGAGTCATGACTTGAGAAGCTAATGTGGTGGGTTTGGGGCAGGTTGGAGGGCAAACTATGGATATGGGAAGACCGGAGTCCCTGAAGGTCTCAGGGAGTCCATGTCACAAAAACTGACAATCAACTTTCTGCTCTAGAAACAGAGCCCCAGAGGCAGATGAACAGAAAATCCAGATACTGACAAGAACTGAGCTTGATACCTGGATTGAAATTGGTTCCAGATTCACCTCTAGCATTCAGGACCCAGACCCAGACCCAGGACCATGGGACCCCAGCACTTGAGCCCTGCGCAGCTGCTCTGCCTCCTAGGGGCCATCTCTACTCTTCCCCGTATGTCCTGCAGGGCTGGATGCTTTGGTACCTCTAGAGGGTGGGGGGCTGGATTCACCTATCTGGGGGAAGGAGGGCTGGATATCTGGGTTCCTCAGGGGACAGGATCTGTGGAGGTTGAGTTCTTGACTAGCAATTTGGGGCACTTAGAAGGCGATGCGAGGGGCCCATGCCTGGAAGGGCACTCTCTCTTTAGGGGCTGCGGCTCTTTTATGCTATGAAGCAACGTCCTCACTCTTCAGAGCTGTTTCTCTCCATGACTGGAAATGGCTTCTGATGAGGAGCATGGTGTGTAAGCTGAGTGAGGGCTGTGAGGAGACGCTGGTGTTCATCGAGACAGGTGAAGGGAAGTGGCTTTGATACTTTTGGGGGGGATGGCTCTTCTGACCCCCAGCTCCATTCCCAGTACCCAGGACTCTGGACTCGAGTTCCAAACATTTACTCCATTATATCTTTGGGAATAATGTCAAGACACTGGCAGGAGAGGGGCAGGCAGGGCCTGGCTGGATGTGGTGTGGGCTGGATAGGAGGGCAGAAAGGAGGAGAGCAGGGCACCTGAGTGGCTCAGTCAGTTAAATGTCTGCCTTTGACTCAGGTCATGACCCCAGGGTCTTGGGATCAAGTCCTGCATTGGGCTCCCTGCTCAGGGGGAAGTCTGCTTCTCCCTCTGCTCCTCCCCGCTGCTTACTTATGATGTCTCTCTCCCTCTCTCAAATAAATAAAATCTTTAAAAAAAAAAAAGGAAGTAGGCAGATCACAGATGAATGGGCGACAATCTGGGAGAGAAGAAAAGAAAGGGACACAGAGGAGAGAGGAGCAAGGGGGAGACCCTGGGATCTGTGCAGCTGCAGCGAGTGGACCTCCTGGCACATTTGGGGATGGGGCATAGTGAGCTGGAAGAGCAGGGTCCAGGGAGGGAGGGTGGCCTTTGGGTGTGGCCAAAGGATCTGATCAGAGCTCTCTATCTGCTCTTCAGGGACCAGAAGGGGAGTTGTGGGTTTTAAGGGCTGCAGCCCAGCCTCATCTTACCCCCCGCAAGTCTCCTACCTTGTTTCGCCACCTGGATTGTCCATTGCCTCCTATAGCCGTGTCTGCCGCACATATCTCTGCAATAACCTCACCAACTTGGATCCATTTGTGAAACTGAAGGCCGGCACTCCTAAGTCGACAGCATTTTCTTCCCACAGTTGCCCCACCTGTGTGGGTGAACACTCTAAGTCTTGCCTCCCAAATTTTGTCACCACTGATTTTTGCCCCTATGACGCCTCTAAGTGTTACAGTTCCACCTTAAAATTCCAGGCAGGTGAGAGAAGAGAAGCTTGCTTTAGTGCCTTCCCAGGCTAGTGGAATCTGAGAGGGGACTGGGGCCAAAGCGGGTGGGGGGAGGGAGGGGCAGGTGGGTGAATTCCAGGGAGGAAGGACTCAGGTGGCTGGAACCCAAATTTTTGGTGGGAGAGCTGATGTTCTGGTTTGTAAGGGGTGTCTGGAAGGAGGGGCAGTGTGCTTGCATCTGGAAAGTGTTCCTTTCTCCTCTTCGTCTGCTGTACTTACAGGGCTTCTCAATACCACCTTCCTCCTCTTGGGCTGTGCTCGTGGACATCACAAACTTTTATCAGATTTTCACCATATTGGAAACATCAGAGTAACTGAGGTCCTCAACATCTTAGAGAAGGCCCAGGTTGCTAGCACAGAGCGCTCCAGCCATAGTCCTGCTTGGAGCATCCTCTCCAGTCTTCTGCTTGCCTTCAGGGACTAACCGTCTAGCCGGCCTGGACAAACCCTTTCCAGTAACCAAGTAAAGTCACGGAGTTGCCTTTTTGCTTTGTCCTGTGGTCCATGAGGGTGGGGAGGTGTGGAAGTTGGGAAGGGAGCCAAATGTATCCAGAAAAGTGGAGGGGAGGGGCAGCAGCTGGCAAGGTGCATGGCACAGTGAGGAGGAGGTGGGTGGGGACCAGGGTCACTGGCAAAGGGACAGTCATGCCCAGCAACCAGGAAGACCCCAAATATTCTTTGAAGTTTATTATTAGTATTATTTTTTAGTAACCTCTACACTTAATGTGGGACTCCCAACTCACGACCCAGAGATCAAGAGTTGCGTGCTTCTCCAACTGAGCCAGCCAGACACCCCTCCACCCCACCAATATTTCTTTTCTCCTTCCCCTTCCTTTGGCGACCTGAGCTCTAGCCAGGTTCAGCCACCGACTCAAGAGATCCTGGCCAAATCTCTCCCCTTTTCTGGGCCTCAATTTCCTCCCCATTAAAATGAAAGACTTTATGAAGCAGAGCTACGTTTCATCAGGGTGGTTTTTATTTTATTTTTAAAAAAATTTTAAAGAAGATTTTATTTATTTGAGAGACCACCAGAGGATTTATTAGAAAGAGCAAGTGCGTGCACAAGCCGGGGGGAGGGGCAGAGGGAGAGAGACAGACTTCCTGCTGAGTGGGGAATCCCAACACGGGCTCCATCCCAGGATCCCAAGATCATGACCTGAGCTGAAGTCAGACGCTTAACTAAGCCACCTTTCAGGGTGGTTTTTAAATAGGATCACTTATTGAGGCTGTCAGATACTGTGCTGGTATTTGTGCTAGGGTTTTACATACAGGATCTCATCTGATCCCCAGAAGACCTCAGTAAGATAGGTATTTTGCAAAGAAGAAACTGACCCTAAGAGGTTAAATTACCTGCCCAGAGTAGATTCCCTCTTGCCTTCCCTGCAGATCTCCATCCCTGCAGAGGGAATTTTATTGAGAGATTTGGAGACCTGGGCTGCTTTCCTCTGCCCAATAGTTGTCTTTATGTGTAAGTTGGCAAATAAAAGGGAAAGAAGGAGTGCTGCAGGCGGTGGCTGGTTTTCACCCAGAGCTCAGGTTCCAAGTTCCTAGAAGGAGCGCAATATAATTCCTCTATATGGCCATAGGGGGGAGCAGATAATCCCACTATGCATATGCAAGTCAACAAGTTAGGTGTGGCTTGAGTGGGGGTGGGGGTGGGGGATAAGGAAGAGAGTCCGCCATTTCCATATGTGATCTCGGTTTCATTCTTCCCACTGAGAATTGGGGACTTGAGGAGATGGGAACTTAAGGTACTTTTATGGTAGATTAAGCATTTTCTGTGCATTCTCTTATCTATTCTTACTACAATTTTATTTTTTTTTAAAGATTGTATTTATTTTTTTCATGAGAGACACAGAGAGGCCGAGAGAAGCAGATTCCCTGCAGGGAGCCCGATATGGGATTCGATCCTAGGGCTCTGGGATCACAACCTGAGCCAAAGGCAGACGCTCAAACACTGAGCCACCCAGGCGTCCTTATGGAGTACAATTTAATGAATACCACAAACATATCACTGAGTTAAGGACAAAGGGTCTAGGGGTTAGGCAGGGAAAGATAAGGGAAAGGCCCAGAGTCAGGCTCCCACAAATCTCTGGGTTCCCATTAAAACCCAGGACAAGGCAGCCCCGGTGGCGCAGCGGTTTAGCGCCGCCTGCAGCCCAGGGCATGATCCTGGAGACCCTGGATCGAGTCCCATGTCGGGCTCTCTGCATGGAGCCTGCTTCTCCCTCTGCCTGTGTCTCTGCCTCTCTCTCTCTCTGTGCCTCAATAAATAAAATCTTAAACAACAACAACAACAACCCAGGGCACCAAGAGGCCCCAAGGTCAGGCTCCCATAAATCCCAAGGACACTGAGATGCAACAAAAACAGAAGGAAGTAAATCTGGTCCCTTGGCTCCAAAATGTTAGGGAGTATCTTCCTTTGTCAGCTATCAAGTAATCACTGAGATCCCAAACAGTCCTATGTCATTCACTCAAAATGGCACAAGAAATCTCAAGTCCACCAATTCCCTGATCAGGTTTTCTATAAAAGCCCTCAGTGGCAACCTTGTCGGGACCCTTCTCATTTCTGAGAGCTTTCTCTGTATCTTTGCTTAATAAACTTCTGTTGCTTTACTCATGCTCCTTTGCCGGCGGAATTCATTCTTTGGCTGTGTGAGACAAGAGCCAAGCTCTCCCACTTCAATTCTACGTAAGAAACAGGATAGGAAGAGTAACTTGTATCGTACCTATATATTTCTTCCCATCCCATCTCTTTGCCTCATCCCATGATGTAACCACCCCTCTACATTTTACTTGCCTTGGATTTTTGTGTACTTTGATTGCATATGTATAATATATTTAAACAATACATGTTTAATGTGCTTGCTTTGATCTATGCAAAAATGGTATGTTTATACATTTCTGAAAGTTGCTCTTTAAAAACTCATCATCATATTTCTAATTTTTTTAAAAAAATTTATTTTAATTAATCTCTACACCCAAAGTGGGGCTCAAACTCACAACCCTGAGATCAAGAGTTGCAAGCTCCATGGATTAAGCCAGCCAGATGCTCCTATATTTTTAATATTCATTCAAATTCCAGGATATGCTTTCGTTCTTTTTTTTTTTTTTAAGATTTTATTCATTCATTTGAGAGAGTCAGTATACACGCAGAGGGTAGGGGCAGAGGGAGAGGGAGAAGCAGACTCCTGGCTGAGCAGAGAGCCAGATGCAGGGCTCGATCCCAGGACCCCGGGATCATGATTGGAACTGAAAGCAGACACTTAACCCACTGAGCCACCTATGTGCCCCTGTTCTTCTGTTTTTACCATTGTATTACCTCCTCTTGAGTTATCATATCACAAGACAATTGTTGTCAATTATCCTTGGATTTCCTCTCTCCCTCTGCCTAGGTTTTTTTATTAAGGTTTTTTTTTTTTTTTAAATTCATGAGAGACACACAGAGAGAGGCAGAGACATAGGCAGAGGGAGAAGCAGGCTCCCTGCAGGGAGCCCGATGTGGGACTTGATCCAGGAACCCCAGGTTCATGTCCTGAGCTGAAGGCAGAGGCTTAACCAATGAACCACCCAGGTGCCCCTCCACCCAGTTTTTTGATATGGCTATTGCTGCTATGAATATTCTTTTACATGTCCCCTAGTGCTTATGTGTAAGAAGAGTTTTTCCTGGGCACACACCCAGGAGTGGTATTGCTAGGCTGTAAAGTTTGCTCAGCTTTGGAGAACTACGCCAAATTGTTTTCCAAAGAAGTTGTAGCAATTAAAAATTACTAGTGAGAGAGTAAAGAATTCTTATCGATCCAGATCCCTCCAACTTTTCTGACTTTTTAATTTTTGCTAGTCTGGTGGGTGTAAAATGGCTTCTCATTGTGGTCTGAACTTTATCTCCCTGATTAGTAAATAGGCTGAGCTTCTTTCCATGTGCCTATTTACTGTGCTTCTTTTGTAAAATGCCTATTTATGGGTTTCTTGGGTCTCTTTTCCTATCAGGTCATTTGTCTTCTTCTTATTGATATGTAGGAGTTCCTTATGTGTGCTTATGTATTAAATACGAACATTCTGTCACTTGGATGATTTGTTTTCATTTCTTATATCTTTTGAAGAACCAAATTTATTTTTTTAAAGATTTTATTTATTTATTCATGAGAGACAGAGAGAGAGAGGCAGAGACACAGGCAGAGGGAGAAGCAGGCTCCATGCAGGGAGCCCAACGTGGGACTCGATCCCAGGACTCCAGGATCACGCCCTGGGCTGAAGGCAGGGGCTAAACTGCTGAGCCACCCAAGGATCCCCAAGAACAGAATTTCAATGTTGAATTTCTCAATCTTCCAGTTTTATGGTTGATTTTTCTTGTGCCTTGCTTAAAGATGCTGTATTTTCTCCAAAAAGTTAAGTTTGCTTTTCACATTTAAATTCAATCATACCAGGATCCCTGGGTGGCGCAGTGGTTTAGTGCCTGCCTTTGGCCCAGGGCGCAATCCTGGAGACCCAGGATATAATCCCACGTCGGGCTCCCGCTGCATGGAGCCTGCTTCTCCCTCTGCCTGTGTCTCTGCCTCTGTGTGTGTGTGTGTGTGTGTGTGTGTCTATGAATAAGTAAATAAAACCTTTAAAAAAAAAACCCTGTTGGGATTTTCATTTGAATTTCATTGAACAATAGCTGATTTAGGAGAGAGTTTAATGTATTGATGAAGTTGAGCCTTTCTATCCATGAACATGTGATGCCTCTCTGTTAAGTCTTCTCTAATATTTTTCAGTACAGTTTTTTAGTTTTTGCATTGGGGTCTTGCACATCTTTTATTAATTTATTCCAAAATAATCTATAATGTTTGTTATTATAAATGATGTCTTTTTAAAAGTACATTTTCGGGATCCCTGGGTGGCGCAGCGGTTTGGTGCCTGCCTTTGGCCCAGGGCGCGATCCTGGAGACCCGGGATCGAATCCCACATCGGGCTTCCGGTGCATGGAGCCTGCTTCTCCCTCTGCCTGTGTCTCTGCCTCTCTCTCTCTCTCTCTGTGACTATCATAAATAAATAAAAATTAAAAAAAATAAAAAAAAAAGAAAGTGTTAAAAAAATAAAAGTACATTTTCTATTTGTTTCTAATTTATAGAAATGTAATAAATTTTTAAAAGTATGTTGATCGCTGAGCCACCCAGACATCCCCAATGTGATGATTTGATACACATATGTATTGTAAAATGACTATTACCACAGCATTAGCTAACACCTCCATTGTATCATAGAATTGTCAGTTCTTTTTTTTTTTTAAGATTTTATTTATTTATTCATGAAAGACACAGAGAGAGGGGCAGAGAGACAGGCAGAGGGAGAAGCAGGCTCCCTGCAGGAACCCCAACGTGGGACTCGGTCCCAGGTCTCCAGGATCAGGCCCTGGGCTCAAGGCGGTGCTAAACCACTGAA